GCAGCTTGCTTAAGCATTCAGTCATTGAGATATTTCTCAGCAGCAGCATGCACAGCATTTCTATGTTGCGAATTTTAATTCGGAAACAATTAATATAAAAGCAGACAACTGCATTTAAATATACTCACTGTAGTGTCCTGCTCAAGACCATCTTGGAACGAGCCATGCATTTAGCAATGATGTGTTCATACAATGCAAACATTATTGTTCTAATATGCAATATAAATATTTTAAATGATCAAAATAAATGAGCAGCTGCTGTTTTTGAGACAGAATTAATCCTGGGCATATGACACCACAACTACAGGGTGTACAGTAATGTATTATTTCGCCAACTATTTTGTTAGCTTATTAATAAGTTAAAAGTAAGTATTTCCATTGCAGTAACATTGATGAATGTTAACTGTTGTGATTCTGTAGGACTTCAGAGCATGTGATCACTGATGTGTTCCCATTGTGCAACCAACAAACACCGAGTTACTACAAAAGAGAACACCCTACCAATGACAAATTTAAAACTATTTGCTCAAGCCGCCTGAGCCAGGTGGTTGCTGGGGGTTACTTCATTTATCAGCCTACAGTGTGATTTCTGTTTGTTAACGACACGCAGTGCGCGTTTCTACCTAGGTAAGTTTGAGCTATTGGCTCAGACACACATAGTTATTTAGGTCATTAGTTAAAGGGGTCATATGATGCTGCTAAAAAGAACATTATTTTGTGTATTCGGTGTAATGAAATGTGTTTATGCGGTTTAAAGTTAAAAAAACACATTATTTTCCACATACTGTACATTATTGTTTCTCCTCTATGCCCCGCCTTTTTGAAACGCGTCGATTTTTACAAAGCTCATCGGTCTGAAAAAGCGAGGTGTGCTATGATTGGCCAGCTATCCAGTGCGTTGTGATTGGCCGAATACCTCAAGCGGGAGACTCTGAAACCCTCCACCTTCCCCAGCTCCACCTGTATAGATCTGCTACGGGTTATTTTCTATGCTATTTGTGCAGCAGCAGTATGTCTTAAATACTCATGGCACTGTATCGCCATATGCATTGGCAGTAGCAAGTTCCTGTACTTGCTTGCAGCAGCAGCAGCAATAATATACAACTACAGCAATAACTATTCTATCTATTCCGCCAAGACCAAATATATTAACATTGTCATATCCATCACCATGTTAAATCTTCCGAGAGTTGTCATGAATTGAA